GGGAGCCATTATGTAAATACTGTTGAAATAGGTTTTAATAGTTTATTTCTTTTATTTACTTTTACCTTGTAATATACCGATATTGACGTTGAAACCCGGGAGGGAGCCATTATGTAAACACTGTTGAAATAGGTTTTAATAGGTTATTTCTTTTACTTACTTTTACCTTGTATATACCAATTTGTATGGAATATGTTAATTAATGTTATGATGATGATAGTAGTATTAGTATTAGTTGTAGTAACCATGATATCATGATTAGATACGGAAACATGTTTTACAGGTTTAACAGACATCAAATTATGTAAATATTATAGCATTTTGTAAAGCTCAGCTCTAGTTTTTGTCACAATATTTTATTGAATAAAATTATTATTATTATTATTATAATCTTATTATTATTATTTAGCTCCAGCATTATATTTCATGGAAATTGTTGTAATATTCGTGTCTGTGATTTGTTTGTTTTTCAGTCTCCAGAAGTTAATATCGTTGGCGAAGAGATGGGATCCCAGCTACAAGGAAGTAGGATCCTGTTTTTGCTTACTTGAAATTAACACTTGCCTACTACACAGTAACATCTAATTATTGTGGTTTCCATTTGGTTTTTCTGTCAAATACTAAAACTCCGTAAAAATCCTGGTAAGTACACACGAGAAATTTGCGTTTTTTACCAACCAATCACAACCGAGTACTCGCGATGCCACGACAACTTGACGTCATAATGCTACGTCATGTTGCGTAGTGACCGTCCGAAAAAAACTGCGGGCTGGCTTAGTTCAGGAGCAAAAGTAGTTGTACATTGACCGATATTTGTCAAGGCTATACTGCAAGGTTTTTTGTTCGTGTTGTTTCTAACGTCACGTGTCTTGGTCTTAGTCTCCTTGCAACAGGGTGAGAGTGCATCAGAGTGCTATTGCTTGGCTGTCAGGGAGGGGGTCAGTAAAATGAAAGTCGTGAACATTGGTAGCCTCGCTCTCCAATGGAGGCGGTAAGTTGCGCTTGCAGCTGTGTAAATAGGAGGTTTAAGTAACCACGACGGCGACGGTCAGGACAACGTTGATTAAAATATGAGGTTATACTTTACCTACCAACCTTGCGGTACTCTAAAGTCATTTAGCTTGTTTATCAGTATCAAAACTATCACGAAACTAAATCTGGGACACAGCGACAACTTTGAAATAGACATCTAAAACTTAGCCTTCGTGGTTAACGTTCTATAGACAACGCAGAATTTGGTCATTTCACGTTGTTGTTTTGCAGAGGATGGCAAAGAAATGTACCAAGAATTATAACGCACGTGCACAGCCATTGTTCTGCTCATTAAATCTTTTGTTTAGCGACGTTCCCGTTGCCGATGCTGTTGTGGTTTTCTTAAACTCCCTAATCAAACACGCAAAACACGCAAGTGTTTTATAGATGAAGTAAGAATTGTAGTAAAAGCAGAAGCAAGCTTTAGTTCAATCAAATACGCTAACATTTGGTAGCAGAGTTTGATTTCATCTCGTTTCACTTGAACCTCCTTGGTCAGCTGAAACTGTGCTCTTCTCAGTTCGTTAAGATAGATTTCTAGCTGCTGTTTTTCTCACGCGATAGAAATCTCGAGCTCCTAATCTAATTGTTGGAGTATAAATCTACTAGTCCTTCAGAACTTTCTCTAAATCCTCTTCATAGACACCTCGAAAACGCAAAGAAGCGGCCGTCATTTTGTTAACAACTGCACTCTGCTACGCTACTCACTATCTACAAGATATTGTAATACATATTTCTACTCAATGTCGTAAATATTTTTCAGCGAAATTCTAGTTAATCTATTTATTCAATTTTCAATACAGTCGTAGGTTTCCCTAAGCTATTATTAGATTTCTTGTAGCCAGTCAGTAGATTGACACATTAATAAAGTTGCTGTATTGTTACTTAGACCGTGAGTAGCGTGGCCAATAAGAAAACGGCATTCGTGATAGAAAGCTAGTAGATTTATACTATTTGTTTTTATCACTGGTATTAAAATCAGGATTTCTTTTCAGAACGTCTGCGGATGATGGATTTCCTGTTGTGATCACGGAACTTACCTTTCCGTCAGTCACAGTGGAAAGCGTGCCATTTTCTATCCACACAGGTACGACTTGGACGTGAATTTCCAATTATGATCGAGGTTCAGAGATAGTCAAATAAGGCGTGAAGCAGTTAAATTATCCAATCAATTGCTCGAGTTGAGACCCTATTGTCGCTATTTTGAAAAACGTGGTGGTTCAAGCGCGGGAAGAAGTGTCGTGAGCCAAATGTGTGTTTTAATATATGTCTTGGTTTCAGAGTTACCCGCGTATGGCTGTGTTCAGACTCCTCTGTCCGTAAGCTATCTCGTCCGAAATAGAACTCTTCAGGTTCAGGAGGTCGAGGTCACAGTGGAGCCAAGTGACGCCTTCATGTATTCAGGTCACAAACAGGTTAGATCGTCTTGGTTATCCTACTTATAAAATATGCCGCGTACACGAAAAAGGTTAGTAATCTGCTTCTTCCTTAGATTCAGTTCCGCCTGCTGCCCACTGGTGACCACAGGCTCAAGTTTAGTCTGTATCCTCTTTGCGCTGGCTTTGTAACCCTTCCCAAGCTGCATTTCAACCTGCCTCGCTTTCAGATTAGCTGGGATGAGCATGCGCAGAAAATGGTTCCAACAAATGTATTCATTAAGGTAAGGAATCCTTCTTTTCGTTTATGAAATATAATTTAGCTATGAAACATTACGAATAAAATGTTGAGAAACCCAAAACTATCTGGTTAAAAGTTTCAAAAAGGAAAAATTTTGTGACGACTGTGGACTTTCACTTGACATCATTAGGGACCTTGCGCATGTTCGACGGCGACGGCGAAGACGACGTCTATTAAAGAGTGTGTTTATCTTTTACTTTGCAATTTCGCATTTATGTAGATCTGTTCAGTGTGTTTGTCGTTGTTGATTTGCAGAGGACGGCAAAGAAATGTACCAAGAATTATAACGCACGTGCACAGCCATTGTTCTACTCATTAAACTTTTTGTTTGGTGACTTTCTCGTTGCCGTTGCCGTCGTGTTTTGCGTAAGGTCCCTATTATAAAGTCAACGGTGAATAAAATTGGTTTCGAATATAAATGTAGAAGAATTCCTAAGAGACACGGACTAGTATAGTAAAAATGTGGTGATGATGCAATCAGGTATCAGCACGCAGAGTCAAGTAAAACGTTTGGTGTAAATAGAGTCTTTGAGCGTTTAACACAGGGTTCAACTCCTTAATGAAGATCATCTCAAAAAATTTAGCAATTTAACTTCGATCAGCACTTCACCAAGACAGAGAATTGTTTATCCTCTAAAGCAGACTACAGCTGACCATGTTCCTCTGGATCCTCCTGATTGCTGAATATTTGTGTTTGCTAATGCGTTGGTGTAAATGTCGGGCTAATAATTTATTTTCACGTTTTTAAACTTTTAACTAGACGGTGTTAAGGTTATCAACAATTTTTCGCAATGTTTTATTGTAAAATTATATAGCAAACCTCTTCTTCCACGAAATCTATTTTGAAAATGAAACTTTCAAAGGTAATTGAGTGATTACTCTGAGTTTCGTATTCTTGACCCTGTGTTTAGTCCAGGAAGGTTCATCGCTTGTGTTTTTCATGAGTATGAGTTGTCTGTAATGTTCGAAAATGATTTGTTTCACTTCGAAGCTGATGTATTGTTGGTGCCTTTGCAGATAGAGTAGAAATGATAGTTATAATAGGTTGATTTTTGGTGTCAGTACCATCTGAAGGAGCGTTCTTGTTCTTTTACCTTTCTACATAGCCAAGAGGACGGGAAATAGGCTTCTGAAAGATCTCAATCTCTTGTGAAAAGACGGAAGCTTACATCAGGCGGGTTAAGGTGCAAATATTAGAGAGCAAGCGATGGGAAGAAGTACTGGAAGTACTTGGACATTTACGTTTGTCAACAAGATACTGGAAGCCAGAGTCGACAGATGTAATTCAAGGAATGTTATTAATAAACCAGAACTCAAGATCCGCGTCAGGGATTATCCGACAGTTCCTTGACAAGAAGAATTTGTAGGATGTACAAGTGGACTGCTTCTGGCCGTATGAACGGTAATCTCCTGTTTGATATGACCTAGCTGGGACGCACAGAAGTTTCAACCGTACAAGAGTGTACTTGCAAAAGATTGCAGTGGTATCGTGTATGGGTTGTTGAGACGACTGTACATGATTGATATTATCTGCAATTATTTAATCTCGTGCCCAGATCTCCCATGGTTACGCGTCGACTGGGACAAGGGTACTGCATTAGCGGTTGTGCCTTGAAGCGCGGTGTTGTAGGTAGCCTTAGCCTGCAGGAGAAGTTACGAGAGACCAAATGAACTCATGGCGGCTTTGCGTCAAGTTTTAGACGTTTTTGTTGTGTAGTGTATGAGGCAAACTCGAAAAAGAACTCGAAGAAATGTAATATTGTATATGGTGAGTACATGTACGTACACACACAAAAAAACAACATTTAGATGACAAAGGTTATCACTACGCTTGTAATACGGGAACTGAATGGACTTCAAAGAAATTCGATTCGCGGAGAAGTTTGTTAATGTCAAATATTTCAATTTCCGAAAATAAAGAACACCTTGTTTATGTGTCAGTTATACCTAATGTTCAATTTTAAGAGACATCTAGTCGGGTGATTATAATAAATACGCTTGGATCATCCTTTATTACTATTCAAAACTATTCTTAATGACACAAGAGACAACACGACAATCGGTTCCTAGTTACAGGCCTCTTGGGAAAGCAAGAGTGTATTCATGATTGTAAGGTCTCTCTCTGCCGGCTCCAGTGGGAGATCAAAGTTAACAACAGAAATTGCAAGCACTATGTACAACCATTCAGTCAAACTCTGAAATATCAGTACAGGTAAAAAAATCGTATCCTTGGGTTTCACTAACGACCGCGTCTTGTGTGACTTCAGTCTCATTAGCGGCCTGACCTTGTGTGACTTCGGTGTCCTTAGCAACGAGACCTTCTGTGACTTTGATTACCTTACCGACCATGCCTTGTGTGACTACAGTCGCCTTAGCGACCTTGTCTTGTGTGACTTTGGTGTCCCTAGCAACCATGCCTCGTGTGACTGTGATCTTCTTAGCGACGGTTTCTTGTCTGACTTCAGTGTCCTTAGTGACCGTACCTTGTGTGACTTTCGTCTCCTTAGTGACCGGGCTTTGTGTGCCTTCGGTGTCTTTAGTGACCGTGCCCTGTGTGACTTCAGTGTCTTTAGCGACCGTGCTCGGTTTGACTTCGGTGCCTTTAGCAACCTTGTCTTGTGTGACTTGAGTGTCCTCTGCTGCCGTGCACTGCGTGACTTGGGTTTCTTTGACGACCGTGTCTTGTGTGACTCGGGTGTCCGAATCTCGTGTGGGTGGTGGTGGTTGTTCAGTGGGTGAAACAATGTTTTCTATTCGATGAACTTGATGTTTCATGTAACCAAAAATTGACGAAAACAAACTTTCTTGGGGTTCTTCTTCATTGGTGATGCAAGCATCAGAATCTAAATAAAAGTGTACAAATTAAGCGTTAATATAAAGTATGTGTAATCACCTTGTGAAGCTGATGTACAAAAACCTTTATTGTCGTATTAACATAGCATTATGCTTTGCCAGCGGGTCAGTGAAATACTCAGGGAACTTAGGAAATTTGGTTTCAAGCGTGTGTTAAAATTCTCAGTGGTGGTAATTTGGAAATCTTGCTTGAATCACCTTATTACTATTCAAAACTATTCTTAATGTCACAAGAGGCAACCCAATAATCTGTTTGTAGTTAGAGGCCTCTTGGGAAAGCATTAGTGTTCTCAAGACTGTAAGGTCTGATTACCATGCGCTACCGCCCTCCGCAGTAAGCCTGGATGGGATAAGAAGAAAAAAGCAAAAATTGAAATTAATGTTTAAACCTATGAATGATCAAACTCCGGAGTACCTGAAAGGCCTGTTTAAACCCTTCAACACTGACTATGGACTTAGAAATATTGAAAACAAATTAGCTTTGCCAAAGCCCCGTTTTTAGTGTAGTTTCTGCTACAGTAGGGCACATTTGTGGAATAGCCTTCAGTCTAACATCAGAGCCACGACATCTTTTATTAACTTTTAAAAATGAGATCAATCACCCAATGTCCTCCTTGTACTCCCACATGGCAAACATATAAATCAGTTACTTATTTTATTTATTTATTTATTTTTTTTGCATCTCAGTCTTGTGATATAATTGATGTTCCTAAGGTATATGTATGTATGTTTTTATTTATTTAGGTCTCTCTGCCCCAGTGGGAGATAGTCACGACTTTGATATCGTTCACTGAATCAAAGTTAACAACACAAAATACAAGCATTACGGACAACCATTCAGTCAAACTTTGAAATATCAGGACGGGGAAAAAATCGTATTCATGGGTTTCACTAATGGCATGCCTTGTGTGACTTCGTTCTCTTTAGTGACCGTACCTTGTGTGACTTTGGTATCCTTTGCAACTGTGCCTTGTGTGACTTCAGTCTCCTTAGTGACCGTAACTTGTGCGACTTCGTTCTCCTTAGTGACCGCACCTTGTGTGACTTTGGTATCCTTTGCAACCGTGCCTTGTGTGACTTTGCTATCCTTTGCGACCGTGCCTTGTGTGACTTTGGTGTCCTTTGCAACCGTGCCTTGTGTGACTTCGGTCTCCTTAGCGACCGTACCTTGTGTGACTTTGGTGTCCTTTGCAACCGTGCCTTGTGTGACTTTGGTGTCCTTTGCGACCGTGTCTTGTGTGACTTTGATGTCCTTAATGACCGTGCCTTGGGTGACTTCGGTGTCCTTTGCAACCATGCCTTGTGTGACTTCGGTCTCCTTGGCAACCTTGCCTTGTGGGACTTTGGTGTCCTTTGCGACCGTACCTTGTGTGACTTCGGTGTCCTTTGCGACTGTACCTTGTGTGACTTTGGTGTCCTTTGCAACTGTGCCTTGTGTGACTTCGGTCTCCTT